CTATAAGATTAGAAAGTCAGAAGTGTAAAACTCTATGGAAAAAGCTAAGCACAGTCATAAGATTGCATTAGAAAAGTGGGTGTGTTTTTTTCATAGAAGTAAAGAACTATTACTTTTGCATATGTCAAAGGGAGACCCTACTAAAATAATGATTGGCTGTCAACAAGAAAGTCAGTTCAAACTGAAGCAAGTGCAGAAAGGTAGGAAGGCTAAGGGAACAAGACGAGCTATTTTGTTAGGAGATAAATAATATTTCTGTTTAGCTTAGTATACTGCCAAGTAGAAATAGCTAGGTTACCTGGGATTAAAGATTTAAAGACAGCATGGCAAGATTACATGCCTTGCCTGCCTTATCCTGCCTTGACAGGGTATTATGGTCTGTATACCTGAACTAGCTTGTGTAGGTATCTACGTGGCAAGGAACTGGATTTCTAGAGTTTCTAATGAAAGGCGAAGATGAGAAATACATTTGAGTGGCCATAGGGAGGAAGGCAACTTATGACTGAGGGCACTATTAACAAACGAATTAACAGAGACACTGCCTTTGGGGCCAGGAGGGAGAACAGTCTAGAAAAGATTACTAAGGCTATGTCTCTTTCTGTTTGTCTGCATTACTTGTGAGTAATTGCTGCTAAGGACCTGGTGTCCACACAGTAAACATTTCAAGGTTTCTTTTTCTTTGGAATAGCTCTAAAGGAATTCAGTTTGTGTACTCAAGACTGTTCCATTGTACAAACCAAGCACAGGAAGTTTGTTTTAAAAATGCACCCCTGCTCTGAATTAAAGCACTAATGTAGGTGCACCTTAAAAGAACAAAGAAAGCTGAAAGATCTCAAGCTACTTGCCAAGACGACCCCTTTTGTTCTGTGGAATCATTCAGCTACAGTATTTTGCCTACTTCCAAAATTTCCAAGCTCTGGCTCCATCTTCAGGGCACGATGATGGTGCTTATCTCTATCACTGAACTCATCCAAATCTTTCTGAAATTGAACTCTGTTGTCTGCTATGGAAGATGCATGAATTTGTGATTATAACGAGTGGCACTTCACTGTTGTTCTAAGCAATGTTCTTTTTTTACTTCCTATTTTGGCTATTAAAAGCTCTTGTATCACCTGTCCTCACTGAAGCAGTTGTAAATGTGTTCTTCCAAGCCCAAATGACAATATCCTCTTCGATGTTAGCTTAGGTAATCATTCGGGGCTATTTAATTACTTTGTAGTTTCATGCTTATCCATTGTTCATAGGAGACAATCATACACTAATAAGCAAGTAGGCTGAGTACTTCCAAGTAAAACAATGTGTTATGTGCTCTAGTTGTGTCACTGCAAAATTTGGGGGTCCCATGCTCCAGAATCCTGGCTTTTGCTAGGCTGACACAAAAATGTGTACACAAACACTTCCTGAACTAGGGTGTTCAGTCTGCAACTTGGATAAGCCGCTTCACACATTCTTCGCTTTTCATTTTGAATGTTTCTGTATTATGCTGTGAAGACTAATTACTATATCCAGCACATTAAAATATGAAGTTCACAGTAACCAGCATGGTGGAAATAATCTCATGACAGCTCCCATTCTAAAATGTATAATAATCCTTGTGACCTTCCAACCTTGTGAGGAGGATTTCCCGTGTAGATTTTCATTTCTGACTAAGTGCTCCTTGTAGCTTTTACTGCTTTTGGTCTGTTGGTTGCTATAGCAACATGTAAATGTCACCAGTCTGCATGTGGCTCATGTTTTGTGGGCATTTCACAGAAATGTTCTCTGGAGCAGACAGTTGTCTTTTACAGTAAGCTACTGAGCAAAACAAAACTTCCTTTATTTATGTAAGGTACTGTGGTCTTCTAATTTGATGAATATAAGTCTGTAATGCATCTTACCACTTCTAGGTTACTCTTATGAACTGCAAGAGGTGTAAGTTTTTCTGGTCAAATTCTTAAGTATGATTTAAGTTCTTTTAACATGGAAGAATATTAACTAAATATGCTTCATCAGTTTCTAATGAATTAGAAATTTAGTAGATTATTAAAGTCTGATAACACTAGTGTCTAGTATATTTCTAGCCACACTGTGGCAGTGCTGGAGCAAGACTGACTTTAACTTCTCTTTTCCAGCTCTTATTAATGGCCTTTCCAAAATACCTACACATCAGAAAAAAACAGTGTATCTCTGTCAGCTTTTGATAAGAATTGCAAAAGGAAAAAACCTTGGTAAATATTTGATTCTTTTTTTCATTTGTTGTTTAAATAGGCTTGTGTGAACTTCCACAGAGGTGTATTAGGTGTGCTTTCACATAGCCTTTACTGTATATATATGTTTGTAAATAAAATGACTGAACTCTACATTTTGGGCTGTCTATATTCCACATGTGACTGAACTGTATGCAGGACCAGTGTTATTCTGTGCTGACTGATTTAGCTGCTTTGAATTTGAATGGCTATATGCTTCTTAAATTATAGGTCTTTTTTGTCAGAGTAGCATCAACAAAAGAAATATACTGGAAAAGATTGACTAGCTCATAGTGAGCAATATTTGCAAGTTTAAAGCACAGAATGTGCGTTTCTTTCTGCACATTTAACTCTAGAGGTTAAAGTAGGACAGGCAGTAGGAATAAGAATACAGATGAAAAGGATGGCTGCCCTTGTTTCTTACAGAAGGCTGTAAGACTTTCAGCTGGCAGCAGGTCTTGGGACTCTTATTCACTACCATGTCTCCTGTTTGGCTGTATTCACAACTTACTGGTTTAGCCAAGCTGATTTTGCTTCCACGCTCAAGTTTCTGGAAGACTTAACTTTTTTGCTGCAAGTTTTCACTGCTTGATAAAACTCATTGGAATTTAAGGACTTCAAAAGCAGTCTTGCCAGCATGAGCATGGAAGAAAAAAGTGTACTCTAGCCTAGCAGTGCCACAAAGGCTTGTTTTCATAAAATGAAATTTCTCATGTTGCTTGTCAGGTAACGCTCTTTTTGATTTAATTCAACTTGAGAATCAAATTCTAATATTTAAAATACTTCATCATATACAAATTATGAAACTTTTCTGATAATGCTTTAAAACTCTATTATTGTATATAACACTTGGGAATATTGCTTCAATGAGTGTTTTTATCTATCACTGTAGAGAATGACCTGTGTGGTGAAGAAAATTGCATGTGCTTAGTAGGTATTACATCAGATGTAGCTGCACAATGTACAAGGAAAGCTAATATATTGTATGGTAGCTTTCCTAATTCTATTCCAGTTATTAAAATATTTAATCTGTACTGAGCCTTAAAATAGAGTAGGCTGTTTCAGATGCCGGCTCTTTAAGAGTTAAACACTTTGTTTTTACAGTATTAAAATAAATTTAATATGATGTGTCATATTACTTGATTGAAACAATAGTTAAAGAAACACAGAAGTGTTTTTTTAATGTGTGTGCATATATATATAAAAAATACTATTTAAATTCTCAGTGTTTGTCTTTTACTGTAGTGGGTATCAAATTTTTTTTTATTTTTTCAGTATTGCTTAAATTGTTTACCTTCTATCTGAAAAATACTTACTGTAAGGGATAAGATGATACTGAGAGAGACTCTGCTATGATGTCATATAAAATGAAGGAATAAGTGAGGCTGTAGTAGTTCAGTGAACATCTTGAGCTAAGCTGGCAGTGCCATGGCAAAAAAAGCCGTCTTGTGCACCTGCCAGCTCCTACTGCATCTGTTATGTTGGCACAGTCACTTGTGCAGATGTCCAATGATGAGACTGGGAAACTGTTTGTAGAGTGTTGAGGGGATAGTTATTTGGCTGGGCTAGATTTCTGCCAGAACTGGTCACTGATCCTGCTTGCTGGGAGTTTGCACAAACCTTGGTGTTGGCACAGCGGTACAATGACATGGGAGGTTGCTTCTGCTTTTCCAGTGAAACTCCTGTGTTAAGCTGTTTGAATTTCCTTCTCAGTTTAACCCCTTCAAATATAACAAAAAGTTAAGACATGGAAATACAGAGATAGTCAGGGGAAAAAAACTTAGAATAGTGGTTATATTACAAAATTAACAGTATCAATACCAAATGTTTTGATATCTGATGCCAAACTTAATGTAAGAGTATTATTAATGCCAGCCCAAATACGTGATGCTAAACTTAGCACTATTGCAAGTGGCATTTTAAGTGAAAAATAATTAGCAGTTACATAATCTCCCTTAAAAATGCAACAGTAATGTTACTAGCAAGGGTAGGAAGAACCAGTCTCTCTGAAAAGAAGGCAGTTACTTCAGGTCTCTTAAACACACCTGAAGAAAGAGACTCAAAATTATTTGAGGAAAAAAGAATTGAAATTATGTATAGTACGTATTACTTCATTGTGTATAAATAACATAATATATTTAGCTTTATCCTTCAAGTTTTTTAAATACCTTTTTTCCTACTTCCCCCCCCACACCCCCAAGAATGCCATTTTGAAAATGATCAAAGAATTTCACCTTTGGAATCTGCTCTGTCTTTCTGGACTTTACTTGAAAGGGAAGAAATTAAACCGGAAAAGCTTCATGAAGATATTCGTCGTTTGATTCAAATTCAGGTCTGTGTGACTTATTCAAAATGCTTCAGGATGCTACCTATTCATTCTGCTAAAATGGGGGTCCTTTTAGAAAAAGCTTGGGCTATTAGCAGGCTGAACTGAATTTTCTAAGTTTGCTGTATTTTCAAGTACAGAGTAAATAGAGCTGTACAAGGGGACCTTTTCCTATCTAAATTGGTTCCTATTTGTCCCAGTTCAAAATCGTTTCAAAAGCTGCCAATCTGAAAAAATGAGATATCGAGAGAACAATTTCAAAACACTAGTATCTTGAGCTTTAAAATATATTATGAATAGCTTTTTTGTTGTTACTGCTTAAAAATAGTTCTTTGTATTAGAAAACTTTTGATTTCAAAGAGCAACATGTAAGAACATCTTGACAGCTACTGGCACTATGAGTGTCTTTCAGGGCAAGATGAAAGCAATACTTAGTAGGTAAGTATGGGACATTTTGCATCAATGAGTGTCCTTTTAAATGCCTGATGGAGAGGCTTTAGACCTTTATACATAAGGTTTAATATTACTTCAGAACTAACTGTTATAACTAGATAATTGTTGGTGACCCTTAAATATATAATCCTCTGGATTTTGGAAGTCTTACAAAACTGTAAAAGTGTGACTTCTCTCGTTTTTTCTGAATCTCAGGTGAAATGTATTTCAGCATATCTTGTAATTATATTTGTTGTAGATTGTAGCAGTCCATATGGAAAACGGATATTTCAAGGAGGCTGCTGAAGTTCTTGAAAGGCTATTTACAGACTCGGAATCAGATAAGGTAGTAACTTGCTTAACTTGCATTAAGCGCTCTCATTTTCAGATGAGAAGGGGGGAATGGGTTTCCAAAGTTAGCAAATGCTACCTGCATAGCTTCGTCCTAATTACTGCCTATGCAGTCACTTACACACCCGTGGCACTTGTAAATACAAAAGGAAATTTTTTGCTAGGGGATTGATAGAAATAAGGGTGATTTGGGGGAGTAAAATGCTTCTAGCAGCAGTTGTTCTTCACTGTGGGCAGCATCAGTCTGAACTTCATCCCCTTTCCCACTTCATATGAAGAGTGAGGTGTCAGTACAGATTCTGGGAACTTGATGTTGCTGTTTTCTCAGTGTAAAGACAGGATAAACATACTGGTAGAGACATAGTAACTCCCTAATAATCAGTCCGCTGACTTTTTCTGAACCATTGCAGTGCACTCTATTTATTGTCTCTGTTGATTATTGTTCTACATACTGAAGCATCGTAGGGAAGGAAAGCTCATTAGCATCTGTAGTATAGAGTGGATATAATTATGCCTCTATCTGGAAAAGATAATGTATGTGGGTCAGGCCACTTCCTGGTTTGATGTTGACTGCATCATTCAGAAAAATGCAAGTTTGAGTGCATATCTCTTTAAAATAATAGCTAGTGCACACACCTGAATTTGCTGGTGCAGAGAAAAGAGCAAAAGAAGGACTGAAGGAAAAAAGAGAAAAAGTAAAAAATGCTGCCTCTGTCTTCCTCTGGTACATTAGGACACATGTTCTGTGTAAATAGCAGCATGTGTATAACTTATTCTTCAGATACACTCTTCATTCAGAGGATTCAGATGTTCAGAAAGTGTAGGCTGTGGTAATAGTATTCAAACTCGTAAATAAGAATGCAACCTGTACATAGAAGTTAATTCTTGGCTATATTGGTCTGTGTAAGAGTGGTTGGTAGACAAAATGTGAAGTTGTGATTATCAGTATCGATGTGTCCCTAATGCTACTGTACTAAATACTCTTTTTCCTAAACGCTGCAAGCCCTTTCAATGGCAGTCTTTTTGAGGCAGCAAATGAGAAAAGAGAACCCAGTAATGAGTGGCCTTTTCTGGGTGTTTTTGCTCCATTGACAACCCTGCTTTCAGTTTTATTTGTAAAGGGAATGAAAATGAGGATCTCTGGAAAGTTATACTTAACTGTTTACTAAGCACATAAAGTAAACTTCTGGTATTATGCCTAGTTAACTTCAGAACCCTTTCAAACTGTAGCATGAAGTTGTACAGGCATATTCAGAAAACTATATAAACATCATGTTTAGCTTTGTATATGTCCTGTTTAGCATAGATGCCAAGTTTACTGCAGGATATATTTTTGTGTTGTATAAAGCTGTGCTTTTCTTAGCCTTTAAGGGTGAAGCTGGCAACCGTAATTAAAAGCAAGGATCCATATGTTCCCCTTCTCCAAAGCTTCAGTTACAATCTTTTGATAAGTAAAATCAAGTCTTACATTGAACTTTTCATGAAAGAAAATGAAACTAACTTCTTAATACAGGTATGTCAAAACTATTTTCAAAACTTATTTCAAAAGAGGTACCTGATAAGATTAAATAGATTTATACTTTCAAGGGAGTTGTTTAGACAATATTCAGTTACTGTATTAGATGAAAAGGAAGCTTTATCTTCCTTTAGATTGTCTTATTAATTAAAACAAAAAAGGTTGAATATATGTTTAGGAGAAAGTTAGTACGAGTAAGACTCCTTTAAAATATCTTTTGTGAATGTTTTTTCCACAACTGTTTTGATTAGAAAAATAGTTAGAAAAAGCATAATTAAAAAGAGGTCTGTCGTTAGTGACAGACATTTAAGAGAAGCAGTTCTGATCTGAGACTCCTTAAAACAAACTTTAAACTATGTATTTAATGTGGTTTTTTGTTTAAGTCTATATGACTTCTCATACTAAAACTAAAAGATCAAGACCTGTTAATTTGGCTAAAAGCTTTAGGAATGTCAGAGGAGTTAGGAGATAGAAAACTATTAATGCTGTTTTCCTGTAAATAAGAAAGCTCCTTACAAACCATCTTGCTCAAAAGTGATTTAAAATTGGCAAGAATAACATTCCTCCTGCAGTTCATCTTCAGGAGGATTGTAAAGAATTTCTCTTATGTTTACTTCCTATAAAAGAATATTGAATTACTCTATTACAAGAGCACAAACATCTAAAGGTAATAAGATGCAAATTTTAAATAAACAAACCTGAAGTTCCTCTGGAGTTTTCATTTTCTTACCACAAAGAGAGACTAGAGAACTTATTAAATGCATTCAAAGTATAATACAAGGAATGTCTTTTAATGGTTTCGCTCTGCTTTCAGTTTTCAAGTTTATTTTTCAAGGCTATTTCTTTGAGTCTAAGAGGAGATGGAGGTTTGGAGGTCTCAGCGAAGGCCTGGGAACTCCATACTAGCATACGTAGGCCCTCTGTGTTGCACCCCCACTGCCTGCCCATCTGTCCTACAGTCTGCACCAATGCTCCAAATCTTACTTCTGAAATCTTTACTTTGGACTGAGTTACCTAGGACATGGAGGAGACAACTTTGTGAAGAGTTCGCACTTCTGCTGTGCAATACATGTAACTGTTTCCCAACAGCGTACCCTGTGTTCTCTACAGAAAAACACTCTAGCATTAACTGTTAATCTCTCTTGTCTTTTTTCTGGTACCATATGTAGAAGTATAATCATAGAATAGTTTGGGTTGGAAGGGACCTTTAAAGGTCATCTAGTCCAACCCTCCTGCCGTGGGCAGGGACATCTTCAGCTAGATCAGGTTGCTCAGAGCCCCATCCAACCTGACCTTGAATGTTTCCAGGGATGGAGCATCTACAACTTCTCTGGGCAACCTGGTCCAGTGTTTCACCACCCTCGTTGTAAAAAACTTCTTCCTTATATCTAGTCTGAATCTACCCTCTTTTAGTTTAAAACCATTCCCCCTTGTCCTGTTGCAACAGGCCCTGCTAAAGCTTGTCCCCATCTTTCTTATAGGCCCCCTTTGAGTACTGAAAGGCTGCAATAAGGTCTCCCCGAAGCCTTTTCTTCTCCAGGCTGAATAACCCCAAC